TCTCTGGGATCCTTAGGCAACAACGTAATACTTAACATCATGGGTGTCGAAAGGTGGTATCGAAGGATTTGTATCTATTCATTTTCGCAGCACCCAACACGAACACACTGGACGCCTTAATTATCAGGAAATTTATCCTCCTACTGTTTCATTCGAACAATATTTGCTATTCAATTAATTCGTTGTTTTCTAAGCCGGTTGTATAGGATTTTGTAAAACTTTTTGCTCCTTTATAGTACACATAGAATACACATCCAAACAAATATAAATATATTTAATAATTCTTTAGATTTAGTAAATAAGCTCGCAACGGTATTTTATCAGACTTCTTCTTCTTCTTCTTCTTCTGAGTCGGTCTCTTCATTACTGAAGGTCGTGTCTAATCTAAAATGTGGACCACTCGATGCACAATGCTTCCCCACGTCTTCCTGTCCTCGGCGGTCTTTATAGCCTAGGTTATTGGCCGGTGAGCGACTTAACCAGATCAGACCAGCGGGTAGGTGAGCGTCCGCGTAATCTTCTCCAGTCAACCTGACCAACTACCATCAGCTTCTCCAAGTTATCAGACAGACCCGGCTAAAACTTAAAAGAACAAATCGAAAGACTTTCCGACAAAAAATTTCCATAACTGTGAAAATTAAGGACGTTAGAGAAACATAAAGCCAACAAAATACGAAAATAGATTGCCTCACATTTATTTTGTCGATGTAGCGACCCTAGCGTTTAATTAGAGTGGCCGGCCGACGCGGGCATTTCATGAAATACCCGTTAATTACGATCTGCTACCACAGCTCTGCGATTTTAATGAATTACGCTCAAATTATTACAGATAATTTCGAATAGGTACTTGTAAGTTTCCATCAAAAATATGTTTCAAAATTTAGGATTTCATAAAAAATTTCAACCAAAATTGACATGTCATGAATTATAACGTCACGGCCTAAAATGCTACGGCTGGGCTGAAATCTTTCTGGGAGGCACTCTATGCAGAAAGAAGTACGTTCAAGATGTTCACCGGCGACTTCCACGATGTAGGAATAACATAGTATAACAAACATCAACTCTACAAAATTATATGTTTACATTATTGTTTTATATTATTATTATTGGACAGGAGGATAAGCTCACGGCCCACTTTTTTTCGGACAAAGGCCAAACCTCATGCGAAGTGTCCGCGCCAAAGAGATTGATGGTTATAAAATAAATACAACTACATTTTGATACACAATTAAGGAATCCGTTGTGTGCTTCAAATAACACCAAACACCGGACAGAAATTACTTTGAACATCTCCTTGTTATTCAAGTGTCATTTTTAATAAAGATCGGCGGTCATTATACGCCTTGGCCCTTACATACAGCACTGAATAAAGAGCGGGTACTTTTACCATTCCAATGGCGCATAGGGTTTTCAGACTAACCAAGTTAATAGGCTTAACGCTGTACAGACCTAGGGGGAAAAGGCCCAACTTAGGTATTTCGTGTAGCCGAAATGAGAAATTCGGGCTTACTGTTTATTTAACGAATTAGCAACTTTAAGTACAAGTAAGGGGACGCGCGAAAAGCGTGGGCGGAGAGATTTTTTTTTATGCTTAGATGTTTAACGAGCTCACAATCTACATGGTGTTAAGTGATTACTGGAGCCCATGGACATCTACAACGTAAATGCGCCACCCACCTTGAGATATAAGTTCTAAGATCTCAATATAGTTACAACGGCTGCCCCACCCTTCAAACCGAAACGCATTACTGCATCACGGCAGAAAATAGGCCGGGCGGTGTTACCTACCCGCGCGGACTCACAAGAGGTCCTACCACCAGTATAGCTTGACTTCTAGTTTCGCTTCTAAAGTCTCAAGGTGATGGGGCTGTTTTTCATTTAGTAGCCTGTGGTATCTAACACTAGAACTTATTTTCCTATCTAGGATATAAAAAAAACTAAAACTTTTATTCTACAATATTGAATTAACGATCAAAAAAATACTTGGATTGTTGAGCCAGTTTGCATTATACTCACGGAAGTATAGTATTTTTCACGGCCCAAAATTATTCTTACTTACTTAAGAATTAGGATAAAAACCGCTCTAAATTTCTAATCAATCAAAAGTAATGAATTTTTAAAACATCGTCATCCCTCGATTTATCTTCGAGGCATGAAAAATTGATGCGTCATCGTTTTGTCACTTGCTATCTTACAGTGTGACCTTGAACGGCCTAATAATAGATGTTGAATGAAAAAGGCCTCCAATCCTACTCTTTCTTCGCGAGAAAACGTGAATTCTTACAAAGCAATTCACTTGCAAAAGTAATAATGCGACAGCTCATAAAATCCATTCCATTATTCATAATATCTCGGTCGTGTTGGAATCGGAAACTGGGTCGTATTAATATTGTGGGTACGTTTGATTGTACCAGCTACTTTTAAGCTTTCTTCTAATAAAGAAAAACAAAAAAATGAACGAAACAAGTCCACATGCAGGCAAGGATTTTTAATTAGGATTGATCTTAAAATTTTAAGTCAATAATAAAGTTTAAATTAATATCTTTGATCGCTTACTATAAACATTTAATAACTATAAATATGTCCTGTATATTATCCATTAACGCATTTAATGCCGAACACACGGCGCTGTGGAGGATTGAGGGTTCGGACTCACGGAGCCGTGGTGCGTGCATTGATCAATATATTCAAATGAATATCGCGAACCGTAATCCAACACTTGATCTTATAAGATCGCTACTTTACTGATAAATTTACTTACGATAACTAAGTTGATAACTTTACATGACGCACATGGTCATGTAACAACGGGGGAAAAAAACATAATTACAAGCCCCGACGCTGTGTGTTCGGTCCCCAAATCCTTCACGGCGCCGCGCCGTGTGGTTGGCATTAAATGTGTTAATAAATACACAGTGTTCATATCGAATGTTGTTGAGAATTTATTTCAGATTTTCACTTTAAATAACATTAGGTAGGTCAGCAGGTAAGTGGGTGGAACGCTAACCCACTGAGTTTCTCGCCGGATCTTCTCAGTGGGTCGCGTTTCCGATCCGGTGGTAGATTCTGCGAAGCACGGCTCTTGCTAGGGTTCGTGTTAGCAATATCGTCAGGTTTGAGCCCAGTGAGCTCACCTACTAGTTAAGGTTACGCTAAAATAGCCTCTCAAGGCTCTCAGCCTAGGTAGGAAAAAAAAAGGTGGAACAACGCCCCTAGCGGCAAACGTAGGGGCACTGTTCCAACTCCATACGAGTTAACTTTTACGCGATCGAGAAGTTTAAAAAACCCGCACTAAAAGATGCTCTGTCAATTTTTTTTAAGTTTGGTAAGTGAAAGCCATCTAGGTATAATCGTTTCTAAAAACTTAATAGTTTTCATGGAACACACAAAACACATTATTGCAATTGGTAGGTATGTTAGTTATTTTTTTAAGTCCATGTTTTTGTTACGGCAAGTGGATTATCTTTAAATTACGGACTAAGGTGCTTCTTTCGTACAGGAACGCAAGCATTGGAATAATTGATGATTTAGATCTATGTACCTTTTTTGGCCGCAAGACAACATCTGTTGTGCTCTATTGTGTACTAGTGTGTAAATATAACATAATTAAGTACACTTATTAACATTTTAGAGTCTGTGAAAGCGTTCAGGTGTGGGAAAATGAATTATTAATTAACAGAAAGTGACTTAACCGCCTCTTCCCAGAAATCATAGTATATGTCCACTAGGTAGCTTATTGTGACATTATTTCTATTAATTTCAACACATCTTACTTAAGTCAATTTCATTGAATTCAATTTTATCCTATGATTATGAATCTTTCATATCATAATAATCATTCAGATTTATCAGCTTCATTTCTTTAGGCTGTCTTTCACTTTTCGTTGATTTTACAAAAATATGAAGATTTGGCTCAAAAGACTACAAACTAGGCCATGAACAACCATAAAAAAAACAGTTTTTGTGTTTATGGGCTAGGGGCCATAAAATACAGAACGCTTTCTTTGAAGGTTTTATGACCTGAACCTTTAAGCCAAGTTTTACATTTTCTTCTTAAATTCTATTGATAAAAAAAAACGAAGCGAAATAAGATGAAATTGATTAATTTGAGACTTCCACCAATTGGATAAAATTAAATAAAATGAGATGAGATGGGATTAAAGTCTCAGTAAGATGATAGTCGTCAGTTGAGTTTTTGGAAGAACCTGAAAAGGTATGTACGTCCAGCGACTTTGTTACATTTTCCCACATTAATGCACTTTCACAGATGCTGAACAGAGATTAAGCACAGTATTTTTATTTAATTATTGTTTTTAAAATATAATAAAAAAAAAGAATTAAAATTCATCATTAAAACCTGAAGAAACACTAAATTATGTACAATTCACACTTCGCTTCTCGCGTTCCCGCCAAAAATTCAAAGACATAGACTATGTACAGTCCAAAGAGAAATAACTTTTTTATATTTTATGGCCTGGTAACGAGCCCTTACAGAAATTACTATTATTGGACTTCAATTACAAAAATGTTCACAAAAGGCATTGATTAATACAATAAATGTTCATAATGACCAAGAAGGAAGTTTTAAAAATCATTTAAGCTAAGACTAATTTTATAATTTTGCTTTGAATAAAAATAAACATTTTTTTTGCTTGAACAAGGTCTTCTTCCTTCGGTTCTGACTAATTTTCTGTAAACTAAAAACTTACCAAGTATTTTTTTTTAGAAAAATCTTATATACCTTACTTACGAATCATTGTTAAGATTTAAAAAAATCTAGGGATAAGAAAATAAAGGAGGTAAATACATTATTTCATTTTTATACTGCGAATTAATTGTTTTTATTTATTACAAATATCGGTTACGACAAATAATATAATATAAATGCACTTTGCTTAAAAAAGATTGCCGCTATGAGCACTCTAATAATACGGCCACACAAACGGTGTTGCTTAACCAAAAAAATGTTACGACCGCTTCTAGAAACTGATGCGCGCGCATTCAGTGTTCCATGTTTCTAAACATGGCAGGTCGTAGCGGTTTTGACGATATTAATTCCAGGTATTTTATCTTAAATATCGATGTGATCTGGCTTCAATAATACAAAAACATGTGAAAAATGTTTTCGCGAAAGAGTTAGTTACGAAATTGCGAAGTTTAAACACCTATTTCTAATTAGAAAGGAAGTTTTCGCTTTGCGATAACATTGAATGAAAACGAGAATTTTACTCGTATTTGTGTATTTTAATTGGATTTGCTTGAAATGTATAGTGTCCTATGAAGATATTGAGGGTTTTTTTCATCAGAAACCATTGCAAGAGAAGAATTTATAGGTTATGAAGTAAGTGCAAATCCGTGTCGATTTCAGGGGCTTTGGCGGCGGCAGGCGAACTACTGGGGGCCGTCCTCTACCTTCAGAGCCTCCATATAAGGCGTACGTTGGAAATTTGCCCTCCGGAATTATTCAAGGCGATATAAACAGAATTTTTCCTGTGAGTAACATAATCTTTTATCTGAGATAAATGTATAAGTCGCAATTTGCGTACACAAATATAAAAAGCCATCCCTAATTAATATTCGTGGTATTTTTAATTGATGTTTCAATTCATAAGATCCATAAATTTTATGATGGACATATTTGTAAAAGCTTTTTCATCAAAAAGCAAGTTAATTTAAATTATCATAATATATTACGAGAAATTGTTTGTTAAAATTAAAATACTTAGCATCTGAATCACTGGTTATCCAAGTACTTGATTATGTCATTCTAGGTCACACTTTGTTTACATTACTATTTTAAAGATCATAAAAAAATTATTTTGGCATTGATAATGTGAATTTTTATCAAATTCAGTAGTGTTGCAGAAAAAATTAATAATAAATCTGAACAATATTAAAAAAGTACAAAGTTGAACTGGAATTGACAACACTAATTATTGTTAATGCCTTTTTTTTCTTTCTTTAACATACCATTATAGAGTAACATGTACACATTTGGTTTGAGAAATTTTACATTCATAGCAAACTGCTTATTGAATGAAAATAAAGACATGTAGAATCTGGGCTTGTGACACAAATTTAAACGTCTCTAACAAAAACACACAATTATTTCTAAAACTGATGGGAAAGAACCCTTTCACTATATATTCAACAATTTGGTATTCAAACATTGGAAATTGGAACAAGAGATATACAGATCAATTAAAAAAAAAATTGTATATCTGATCATACATAAAAAAAGAAAAAAAAAAAAAGAAATATATACATTATATTAATCATACTCTTGATATTTCCTTTTATTCTGTTGCAGGATCTATCTATAAAAAATGTCAGATTGGTTATGGATAAAGAGACAGACAAATTCAAAGGATTTTGCTATGTAGAATTTGAATATCTCGAAGATTTGATGAAAGCAATAGATTTGAATGGGATTATTAACGTAGATGGTAATATATTAAAAATTGATGTTGCTGAAGAAAAAAGAAACGACCGGTATGTTATATTTATTTTTATTGTATATTCCTTTAGTGTACACAGAAGAAGGAACCATATTGGTGTAGAAAAATTAGATGAACATATTTCTATAACACCTGAAGTCGATGGTTATTAGAACTTATGCATGTTGTTCAATGTGAAAATTAAAATTTGAATAATTACTGGTTGCAGTATGATAGGGAACCATGGTAATAACCACCAGCTTGCTGTGAGATATTTATGCATTTTGGTTAAAGAGCAGGACAGTCATTATGTAATATAATTTAGAGTTTATTGTCATGTCTCAACACAGATGACTGTATTTATATTGTAACATATCGCATTAAAAGTGTACAATTTTCAATAATAGTCTAAATTGAGTTAATATGTGGAAAGATTTGGTATCACCAGTATTTTTCTCATAAATACTGTCAAAAGAGTGTAGTGTAGTTTTAGTTTTTTTTTAGTTTACTTATGTTTTGACTACTATTTACAAAATTAATACATAAATTTATTTTACTTTAAAAGACAGATAATGTAACTGGTAAAAAATAAAAAATAAATGTTGCAAAGATGATTAGTATTAAAAATATTATATGTAAAACTTTTAAAGCACTCTCCTGTATAATTAGTAAGTTTTGAAATTATACAGTTTTAATGCGAGAAGACGATATATGATAACCTATTAAAATCATATGAGCTGTGAGTTTGTCTGATTATCTAGATAAATAATAAAGAGATGAATGATTAAATTTGTAGATAATTTGGAGTATCATGTCAATTGTCTGCTTTACAGAAAAAAGGGCATAATGTTGGTACCACAACAAGCTGTTATCACATCCCAATCGTTCTAATTATTCTCACCTTATGTTCCTACATAATTCTCTTGATATGTCCATCAGACTAATGGTGGTATGATGTTTAGTATTTCTGCATAGTACACTACCACTATCTTGTATATTACTACAATGGAGCAATCAGTGGTGCTTAAAGTTCTTGGCTCCAAGTTGCGGGCATCCATGGATGTACATAGGAATGAAAATTGCCATTTCAGGGGAGGTGGTTTCGATCGTGGTCGGAGAGACGGCGGTCGCGATGGTGGACGAGGAGGTGGCGGTGGTAGTGGCGGCGGCGGGTTCAGGCGCGAGGGGCGTGGTACGTACGACCACTTCGAAGCATCCGACCGCAGGCTGCCGCGCCATCAGGGTGGAGGGTTCACACATGGTAACATTCACATACTAACATATGGAAACAGCTACTGCTTATAAAGACTTTGCTAAACAAAAATAGTTAATAGCAAATATATTCTTCACATTAGCTGTTTCCTAGACATTTTGTGTCTCCATTATTGATTTGTGTTTCACAATAATGTTTTGTAATAATGTGTGTGTATACATGGTTCCTAACAATATTTCAATTATTAGGATATGAGAATCACTTGTTAAACCAATTTTTAAATCAAATCATGATGATATACGAGTGATGTTAATCACCACTGACAATGTATATAACACTAATAACTGTTACTTGTTTTTGTATTTGTATATTGATTCTCCTATCCTAAATAAATCATGGATATAATGGGTTTTTGTGTTATTTAAAAATGGTATCATAATAAATAAAACATTTTATAGTTTTAAATTTTTGTATATTAGAATCTAACATTTCATTCATATCATATAAAATGAAAACCTGAATGTTCAGAATTTACATCCATACCAGCTTTCTTCAAATTTTGCTCTTAGCATGATTCACAATCAGTTTTATCCTCCCACTACTAAGACAACCACATTAAAATAGGCAATAAATAAAAATATAATACATTTTTGTCATTTCAATTGAGTATTTGAAATGTTAGGAATGTTTATGCAATTACAATATTAACTTACTGCACTTTTTTTTTTTATTACTTAGATGGGTGGGTGAACGCACAGCCCACACATCCACAACGTAAATGCGCCACCCACCTTGAGATATAAGTTCTAAGGTCTCAAGTATAGTTAAAACGGCTGCCCCACCCTTCAAACCGAAACGCATTACTGCTTCACGGCAGAAATAGTGGTGGTACCCACCCGCGCGGACTCACAAGAGGTCCTACCACCAGTAAAAGCACTTTGTTAATAATTCCCATTCTGCACTCAAACTTTTCAAATCTAAAGTTTTTAAGTAATGCATTCTTCTGTAATAAAAACACTACCATTTATAGCATAAAATTTCTTTCTTTGTTTGAATTTGTGATCCACACAGCAAAAGTACTATCTTTGGCCACCACTTTGTAATGCTGACCTATTTCTTCAAAATCATGTCACCCCTGCTATATTACTGAATGAGACAGTATGTGTGATATGTTCATACCAACAGATTACTTATGTTTGGAAAGAAGCAAGCTCGGAAATTTCTCTGTAATCCTTCTTAATGGCGAAACTGCATTTCGAATTGGTGGTAAATTCAAGATGATTTAAAAGTACTTGTGAATGACTAGTTGAATAAAATTTATTTATAAATTATTGAATAGGATATTGAATCTGCAATTTCATAATAGTCTTGAAGACGTTGTGGCCTAAAAGTTAAGGCACCCGGTGTACTCGTATCGAGGGATACGTCTGTACCGATGCTAAATCCAGACAGACACAATTTTTTCTAATGAAATACGTAGGTACTCAACTCATGTTCACATGTAGTAAAAATCAAATCCCCTATCTATTTCTGTCGCGAAGGACTTAATGCATTAAGTTTGAAGAGACTGTTTGGTCCAAGCTGTGTGACGCCACTCACATTATTGATGTCTCGGACTCCTGTAACCGCCTAACATTTTGGGCTGTGAGCTTGTTCGCCCAACTATACAATAAATAAATAAATCACATGTATACATCACAAATACTCAGTTGTAATGTATTATAACTTAAGTGCTTAAATCTACATCAAACATAGTTAATGTCTTGGTTTTCGAAGCAATTTTTCATTGTTGGGTTCTTTAATGCAAATGTTATAATTAATTTTATAGTATATTTCATTTTCATACAATTCTCATTTCTTCATAGCTGGATGTATGTATTTCAAGACTTGCATTCGAATTCATGTGTCTTGTTTTTAATTGAATTGGATTGAATTGAATTTATTAATGTTTTTTATTTATAAAAATCTAACACTGTGTTTATTTAACTGTGTTGTATTTAATTGTATCACTGAAACTCACATTAATACTGCCATTGTCAAGTTTAGTGTACTAAAGTATACAAGTGAAGTTAGTGAACAGATTTGAGTACATAATAATCTCAAGAAAAACATTTCGTCATGACCATTTGAAGGAAATGTTAATTATCAAAAAAAAATGTTTTTAATTAATATCTAGGGAATAATTAATAATATTTATAAATTGTCCAAAAAACTGATTTAACTTTGTTCAATTACTTACTAGTCGTTAAATATTTAGCAACTTTTTAATTAACTAATAAAAAGTTGAAAGAATACAAATGAATTAAAACCTGTATCTAATTAAGAAAGGCATCGATAACCGTCTGAGATAGATATGTTAGACTGAGAACATAATAGTGAAAAATGACGTCAGTTTTCACATGCAACTTAGAAACCCCATAAAAATCCTCACTTTAAGAAAAAGAGAGCATTCCTTAACTTAACGTTCTAACAAATATCCTATCAGACTTAGGTTATTTGATCAACACCTCTTATTATATAACAATATTTTTTAGTTTACTTAAAATAGTTGCTTACAAAGCAACGTAATTCATTACAACAAAAATTAGTGACAATTCGGACGCTGGCATCCGGCTCCAAACAGTTTCCCGTATTATGGAAACCAGAGACTAAAATACAATCTACATATAAATATATGTCTATTAAATTTTTGTGATCCTATTTAATTGACAGAACGCGAAAGAGAGCGAGGTGGAGCTGGACCAGGAGCTGGGGCCGGCGGTAACGAGCGATGGGGCGACCGCGATCGTGACGGCGGGCGGAGCTCCCGCGGCGGGTCCGAGGAGCCCCGCGCCGGTGACTGGGGCCGCATGGGACGCTCGGGCTCCAACGCACCCGCTAGAAACAGACGCGCATTCGAAGATATGCCTCCCACCAGACCAGGTGTGACTTCGTTATTAAAAATATCGGTTTATCTCTCTCTGCCTCCGGACACTCAATACATATGCTACAAAGAGAATCCAATGTCAAAAAATCATTGGTCAAACATTTAAATTTATTTTCATATTAAATTGATAACTTCGAATTTATATTCTAAATCTTTCAAAATTCCGGGTTGGAGGTGGACAAATTAACCACTTACCTTCTCCTCTTCAAAATATCATGTTCGATATTTTGTAGAAGTCTATTTGAAACACCCTTAAATATCCCCCGCTGAGTTTCTCACTGGATCTTCTCGGCGGATCGCGATTCTGATTCGGTAGTAGATCCATTCGCGGAGCAGTTGCTCTCAAGTTGTTAGGTCTCCTTCGGAGGTGCTCGGGCAGCTGTTAGCTAATCCCACGCCTCCTGACTGAGCCTTTGCTCGCCCACCTGTCCTGGCGAAACTGGAAAGGCCTCCGGGCCTAAATAAATCTCTTTCATTCGATGATGGATGGTGGTAGATGAAGTATCTCATATCACTACATAGTATAAAACAAAGTCGCTTTCTCTGTCCCTATGTATGCTTAAATCTTTAAAACTACGCAACGGATTTTGATGCGATTTTTTTAATAGATAGTGATTGAAGAGGAAGGTTTATATTATGTGTATAATAACATCGATTAAATAGTGGAGAAATCAATAATAAATTACAGTTTCCGAAGCGAAGCGAGAGCGGGTCGCTAGTTTATTCTAATTTGGATACGAACGAAGCTTTTCTCAAAGTGAATATAATTTCAGACACTTCTGGTAGACCGAAGCTGGTGCTGGAGAAGCGGACGGTAAAGGAGCCCGTCAACTCGCTGGCCTCGACTAGTCAGTCTTCGTCGATATTCGGCGGGGCTCGGCCGCGAGAAGAAAAGCTCAAAGAACTTAAGGGAAACGAATGAGTCCCCCGATGTACTACTACCAAAAAACTACATACTTTTGTCTAACTTCTGTGTGAATATACCCGTGCTCTTCTCGCCCTCTCTGTGTGCCCCGTTCCCTAAGTGCGTACAAAAAAAAAATTGTAAATCGTAATCGAACTATGGTTTCGTTTAAGTCGTCAGGTTTTAAATCATTTTTAACGTGAACTCCGTTGGCTTTATTATGTGTATGTATGAGCTTATTACGCGCGCTCACTCGTTTTTGAGCGCCACGAACAATCTCGCTTATTTTCTACACCGTATGTATTTAAATTTCTAGTGATAATAACGTCGTACGGGCTTTTTGTGTAAGATATATTCGCTCGCATAATGTTTTACATGAAAGAAAACTTTTAGGTTCCTTTTATACATAAATGTATTTTGTGGACATAATGTTTATTATTTTTTTTCTCTATAAAGCTTCGTAACTAATACTATGTTGTATTTGTTCATCATTTATTAATTTGTTTATTTTGTTAGGTCGTGAAAATTAATAATTGAAGGAGTAATTATGATGCATAATTTAAGAGTTGATTATAAATGGTGATGTAATTACGGTTTTCATTAATTAAATTAACTTCCACGTACTTGGATTTCTACTTTATTAGATATTATGTAATGTCACAAGTCACGTGGCAGATAAATGTAAAAAAAATCGCAAAATGTAACACAACATAGAAAAACGAATAAAAAGTGAATCTTTGTAATCAAGGTTTTATGTGCATGATATTCCTTTTTCGATTTCAGTGAAGAACTTCAGATGAAATAAGCTTCGTGACGTGTGCCTGTTAAAATATTTGGGTTTTAATCGTAGTTGGACTGTGGATTAAAGACATTTTGGACTATTCTGAAATTTCAAAGGCGCTACGCAAACTATTCTACACGGGCGAATGAAATCATTAAAAATGACGTCATTCGGCTCCACATAATCGACGAGTTAATCTTGGGACGTAAATTATAACACAATGATTGGCTCTTCAATATCATCATATATTCGGTGTTGAAATGATACCGAAAGCCTTTTATGGTCGCAGCTTTTAGGTTTCAAACAAATATAGAAATAATTATTGTTGAGTGAACAAGCTACAAGGCGATAGCCTCATAACCAGGTTTAAACATTTGATAACTTATCTGTCTGCCTTGACGAAGTTCTCATGAATATTGATACGGACTCATACACAGTCGAAAGTCGCGGGATATACCTACTTACAAGGATTGTATATAATCGTAATTTTAATTTACGTGTTGCAATAAAATTGTAAGCTCGCAAGGGTTCGTTTTATTATTTATTGTATGAAATATACGAACGAGCTCACGCTGTTAAGTGGTTTAAAACACCTATGGAAATCATCAATTTAATGCCCGCGCTCCCCAAGACTTGGGATGGAAATCTTAATAGTATTGTTTATTAAAGCTAGGCTATTCTATCCTTCGGTTCAGAATGCACATAAATACCCTCGTCTTCTCGTCAAAACTAAGCGAGAATGTGGTAATCCCTTATAAAAAAAAAGTGCTGGGACAAGGAATAATTTAGGAAGAAGCTAATTTAAACGCAATTATGCTAATAGAGGTTTTAAATCGAATGAATAGCCGGACAGAAGACAGACCTCATTATAACTATGGAATCCTCTCTTCTATTTAATTGCAAAATGAGTCTTACACATGTAGGAGTTTATTTTCTGTTACTGGCCGCTTGGATGCCTAATCAGAAACATTTAATAAAGGCATATCTCCTTTTTTTGATATTGGAGAATAACATTTCTTTCTTGGCTATTTCAATTATTTTGGTGGCAATTCAATATTTCATCTGAATTTTATTTTCTTCAAAATGGGCAAAAATAAAAGTTGTGACGCGTCAACTAAGCATGGAATTGTTAATTTACATATAGATCTTAGATGGGCGTACAGAATAATCGCTGAGCATATCAATTGTTCTGTTATGAAAGTTTTTGATCATTGAAACTGTTGAAAATGTTCTTAGAAAGGCTTGGCCAAGAAAAACCTCTCCCAAAGAAGATACGCTAGTCGTTCGTGTTGCTAAAAAAGTCCTAATTAAAAGCTCCAACCAGATTAAAAATGATTTTTTTTCTCTTGATGAGCCGAGAAACATCTCTTCAAGACTGATAAGCCGAAAATTAGTGGAAGCTAAATAATAATAATAATATTTATTCAAGCCTCTTAAATTGCAAACACATACAAGAATTCTTAACACTAGTATAATAATATACATGGCTTTTTTATGAGGTATACAATAACAAAATTCCCTGACTTTTATGCTAGGAAAACCTGTGTTACAAAAGTCAGTGGTTCAGTGCTAGGTCACCAGGTAAAGAAAGTTAAATTAAGAAAGGTAAAGAAAGTTAAATTAAATTAAATGATTTTGAAGAACCTCTCGAAAGGTACCGCTTCTTACCAAGCAACACCGAGAGAAGCGGTTTTATATTCTACTGGGGGTAGGACCTCTTGTGAATTCGCACGGGTAGGTACCACCGCCTCGCCTATTTCTACCGTGAAACAGTAATGCGTTTTGGTCTGAAGGCTGGGGCAGCCCTTGTAACTATACTGAGACCTTAGAACTTATATCTCAAGATAGGTGGCGCATTTACGTTGTAGATGTCTATGGGCTCCAGTAACCATTTAACACCAGGTGGGCTGTGAGCTCGTCCACCCATCTAAGCAAAAATAATAATTATATATATATATATATAGGTATATGTCTAATACATATATAGAGATATGTATTAATCACTAAAAATTATGTTAATTGGACAGTAAGAGAATGGAAAAAAGTTATTTTCAGATGACAAATTAATATCGACGCTTGAAAGGCAAACGTGACTAAGCGACAATGCGTGAAATTTACAGTAGACTAATTTAAAGTTGAAATACCTGAAAACAAAATTTATTTTAACGAATCTAGCTGTAGTAGAATCTAGCTAGTAGCTGTAGGATTTAAATGATTTTAATAGACCTAGAAATATTTTTTTTTTGCGTATAGAATATGGTTATTGCCTATCATTTATGCACAAAGCAGTTATTGGCGCTTAGTCACTTTTGCCTTTCAAGCGTCGATATGGTAAATTTCAATGGCAAGCTCTATGTTAGACATCCTGTTTTTTTTTTTTTTTTTTTTTTTTTTTTTTTTTTTTTTTATGATTGAAAGTTTACTGTGGCCCGAAGGCCTTTCAGTTTCCACCAGGACAGGTGGGCGAGCAAAGGCTCAGCCAAGAGGGGTGGGATTTGCTAACAACTGCCCGAGCGCCTCCGAAGGAGACCTAACAACTCAAGGAGCAATTGTTTCGCGAATGAATCTACTACCGGATCGGAATCGCGACCCGCTGAGAAGATCCGGCGAGAAACTCAGCGGGCTGATGCATGGGTTAGGTTGCACGTCGACCTCTTTGTCGAGTTCGACGAGTACGGTTACCGGGGTCCCTAAGCCTGCCCCTAGTATTAGAGCTGAAGGCATCTAATGCAAAGGTTATTGGATCTGATGGATCCGTAAGGACGTGTCTAGGGCGTCGACGGTGACTGGCTCCTGCATGATCAGGATTCGGGGAGTAGTCAGCGGCGGCAACGATAAGGCGATTATCATGACGCATAGCCTTATCGAAGTATCGTTCCGACGCTGACTTCATGTATTTCCGAATTGATTCGAGGCCCAGGTCGTCGTGTAGGTCAACGTTCCTCACGAACCACGGAGCCCCGACAGCTAACCTGCAAAAGCGGGATTGTAGGGATTGGAGGGTGTCTATGTGTGTGCGGGCCGCGTGAGCGAACACCACACTCGCGTAAGTCATGACGGGCCTTATGCAAGTTTTGTAAAGTGTCACCTTGTTCCGAAGGGACATTTTACTCCGCTTACAGATCATGGGGTAGAGTCTACCGAGAATAAACGCGGCACGGTCACGGACTGATTTTATTGCGGGGGAATGTCATCGATGCATCCAGGGTAACGCCCAGGTACTTGACCTTCCTGGCCCAGGGTATGGGTTGTCTAAAGAGAGTAATCGGGGGTGTGAGATTCCTCCTCCTAATCCGGGAGGAAATCCGTGTGGAGCTTCCCCTCTGAAATAGCACCGCAGTACTTTTCGCTGGGTTGATGTCTATGCGCCATTTTCGGAACCACTGTCCTAGGGCTAGGGCTGCGCTCTGAAGCTTCTTCGCGATTAGGGACTTATTTCTACTAGAATAGTAAACAGTCGTGTCGTCGGCGAATAAAGCTAAATGGGTCGGCGGCGACCGGGGAATATCGTTGACGAATAAGCTAAATAGGAGGGGTGAGAGGACAGAGCCTTGC